CATAGGTTCCCCATGCTGGCTCAGGAATTTTGGGAGTTGAAGTCCGCAAGTCATAAAGGGGGCCATAGTTTCCCCATGCTGGCTGAGGAATTCTGGGAGTTGAAGTCCACAAGTCATAAAGGGGGCCATAGGTTCCCCATGCTGGCTGAGGAATTCTGGGAGTTGAAGTCCTCAAGTCATGAAGAGGCCATAGTTCCCCCATGCTGGCTCAGGAATTCTGGGAGTTGAAGTCCACAAGTCATAAAAGGGACAGGTTTGAAGACCCCTGAACTACAGCATCACATTGATGAAACTCCTTATTGGATGTTGATCAACAATTCCTTGCTTATCTCTCTCTCTTTTTTTTGCCACTGAAAAAATAAGCAATTCTCCCCTTTATATTTTTCACCTACCAACTTCAGCAAGGACATACTTAACTTGAAGGCCGGTGTTTGACTTCCTGGTCTGAAAAAGTCATTTGCAATTGTGTTTAAAAGTTAAAACCTGTTGTGCCAAACTAAAAACTGGGGTGTCCAGTTTTACCCTGGAGTCCACAGCTGGCGTGTTGGAGATGGTGATGTGATGTGGTTGGAATAGGATCACCACAATATGAAAAATATGCTGAGGCTCTAGAAAGAGTGCAGAGAAGAGCAACAAAGAAGACTTGGGGATTAAAGGCTAAAACATACGATGAATGGTTGCAGAATTGGGTCTGTCAAGTTTAATGAAAAGAGGGACAATGGGAGACATGATAGCAGTCTTCCAATATTTGAGGGGCTGCCACAAAGAAGAGGGGGGTCAACTTATTCCCCAAAGCAAGGACAAGAAACAATGGTTGGAAACCGATCAAAGAGAGAAGCAACCTGGAATTAAGGAGAAACTTCCTCACAGTGAGGACAATTAACCAGTGCAACTGCTTGCCTCCAGACATTGTGGGCGCTCCATCACTGGAGATTTTTAAGAAGAGACTAGACCAGGGGTAGGCAACCTTGGCACGAGTCCACGAGTCATAAAAGAGCCAAGGTTGCCTACCCCTGGACTAGTAGACAGTCACTTGTCTGAAATGGTATAGGTTCTCCTGCTTGAGCAGGGGGCTGGACTAGAAGACCTCCAAGGTCCCTTCCAGCTCTATATCTGAGGGGGCTGCCACAGAGAAGAGGGAGTCAAGCTATTCTCCAAAGCATCTGAAGGCAGGACAAGAAGTAACAGGTAGAAGACCAACTTGGAACCAAGGAGAAATTTCCTGATAGCAACAACAATTAAACCAGTGGAACTGCTTGCCTCCAGAAGTTGTAGGTGCTCCATCAGTGGAGGTTTTCAAGAAGAGACTGGACAGCCACTTGTCTCAAACGGTAGAGGGCCTCCTGCTTGAGCAGGGGGTTGGACTAGAAGACCTCCAAGGTCCCTTCCAACTCTTGTTCTTCTGTAAGGGTCTCCTGCTTGAGCAGGGGGTTGGACTAGAAGACCTCCATAGGTCCCTTCCAGCTCTGTTACTCTGCACTCTGAATCCAGAAGAAGAGAAACTGTGGCTGTGTTTCAATCTCTGATTTCAGTCATCGCCAGGGCAACACAATTGGTCACCATCGTTCACCGCTGGCCTGCTTTGCTGCTGTTATCTCAGCCCCATAAAGTTTAAAAAAAACCACACACCCCAGGTTTTCCAAAGATTATTTTTAACCTTGGCGGTTTCCAAGCCAACCTGCCTCGCTGGATGATTCATGCAGATCAAGAATGCACGGATGATTAAACCCAGCCCTGCCGATGAAAAAAAGGACGAAGGAGAACTGCACAAGGAGGAAGAGAAGCAAAAAACAGGAATCCCTACACAACCCAGTTGCTTCCCAAGATGCTGCAGACCTACAATCCAGCTTTCTGAATCCAGTGTCTTGCAGGGACAACAACTCCCAGGATTCCCAGCCAGTTGGGACTTTCAGGGCGAGCAAGATTGGCACAGAGGAACGGCAACATTCTTCAGTTAGCTGATTTTTATCCCGTCTTTGTTATTGTTTGTAAATAACTCAAGGTGGCGAACACACCTAATATTCCTTCCTCCTCTTATTTTCTCTGCAACAACTCTTGTGTGGTGGGCTGGGCTGAACAGTCACCCAGACGGTTTTCATGTTCAAAGGCAGAACTAGAACTCACCGTCTCCTGGTGATTGGCCCAAAGTCACCCATCTGACTTTCATGGCTGAGATGGGACTAGAACTCACCGTCTCCTGGTAATTGGCTCAAAGTGACCCATCTGACTTTCATGGCTAAGGTGAGACTAGAACTCACCGTCTCCTGGTGATTGGCTCAAAGTCACCCATCTGACTTTCATGGCTGAGATGGGACTAGAACTCACCGTCTCCTGGTGATTGGCCCAAAGTCACCCATCTGACTTTCATGGCTAAGGTGAGACTAGAACTCACCGTCTCCTGGTGATTGGCTCAAAGTCACCGATCTGACTTTCATGGCTAAGGTGATACTAGAACTCACCGTCTCCTGGTGATTGGCCCAAAGTCACCCATCTGACTTTCATGGCTGAGGTAGGACTAGAACTCACCGTTTCCTGGTGATTGGCCCAAAGTCACCCATCTGACTTTCATGGCTGAGGTAGGACTAGAACTCACCGTCTCCTGGTGATTGGCTCAAAGTCACCCATCTGACTTTCATGGCTAAGGTGGGACTAGAACTCACCGTCTCCGGCTTTCTAGGCTGGTGCCTTAGCCACTAGACCATACTGCCTCTAAGACAGTTTAAGTCAGGATTTGAGGTTGTGCTTTGTGGCTATGAAGGTTGCGACCGCCGACAATCTAGGGTAGTGTTTCTCAGTCTTAGCCCCTTTAAGATGTGGGGACTTCGACTCCCAGAATGCCCCAACCAACACAGCTAAATTCTGGGAGTTGAAGTCCACACATCTTACTGGTGCCAAGACTGAGAAACCCTGGTTTATGGCTTGAAATGTTGGAAAAACTGAAATCCTGAAAGTGACATTTCTGAAAACTTCAATTTCCAGCAATCTCAACCAATATGGTGAATAGGGAGCATCCTGGGAATTGTAGTTCAGCATCTTCTGGAAGACCTGAGTTTCCTTTCCCCTGCAGCTTTTAACCATAGAGTAGTGGTTATATCTAAACGAGAGGTCTTCAAACTCGGCCCTTTTATGACTCATGGACTTCAACTCCCAGAATTCCTCAGCCAGTGTGCCTGGCTGAGGAATTCTGGGAGTTGAAGTCCATAAGTCGTAAAAGGGCCGAGTTTGAAGACCCCTGATCTAAACTGAGCCAGCATCACAACTGGTTTAAGTATAGAAGTAGATTTCTGAGGTGGGAAAGGGTTAAACTAGATGACCTCTGTGCTCCCTTCCGATCCTTAGATTGTATGTTTCTTGCTCTGTTGTATATTTCTTGCCTGTCTTCACCCAACTTGACCAAACCGGGTGAAAAGGATAGAATATCAAGGTTGGAAGGAACCTTGGAGGTCTTCTAGACCAGGGGTAGTCAACCTTGGCTCTTTTATGACTCGTAGACTTCATCTCCCAGAATTCCTGACCCAGCTGTGCTGGCTCAGGAATTCTGGGAGTTGAAGTCCACGAGTCACAAAAGAGCCAAGGTTGACTACCCCTGTTCTAGATCAACCCCAAGCAGGTGACCCTATACCATGGGTAGGCAACCTTGGCTCTTTTATGGCTCGTGGACTTCAACTCCCAGAATTCCTGAGCCAGCATGGCTCAGCTTGGAAACTCTCCCTT